TCCTTTTTCAGATTGGATTCCCTATTCATTTTCTGGTGCAACGTTGCTTTTTTTTTTTTTACAGTCCAACTTGCAGAATTGTGTGTGGAAGTCTTATGAGGAAGAAACGACTAATGAGGAATTAGGAGTTAAAAGTTTTCTGATGCATAGCCTATCAAAGAAAAGTTTAGAACTGAATCTTTCTCTCTGGCCATCTAACCTTTTTGTAGAAGGAATTTTCTCTTTAATAAGAAGAATTAGTTTCCCTTACTCTTTAACACAGTTTGCTTTCCATACGTAGAAAAATAAGCTCAGGCTGTCCGATTGTAATTGCAGCTGAAAACTTTCATATATTTTTGATAAGGTTTTGGAATATCATACTGCCCTTCCTATTACGACAAGTAACTATGACAGGGAGAATTAATAGACATCCAGTGAGTACATCATTTCATATTATTCTTAACACAGTCATCACTAATAAAGGAATTATAGCTAGTAATGTACATTGGCAGCCAGCTTCTTCTGAGTATGTGTGGCTCCTGGATATTTAAGGTACAGCATCAAGGAGAGGGAGTGTTGGGAAAATCCCATATGTATTTCCTATTAAGCAGCTCAAAAATAACTTAGTAGTTTTTCCACTCCACTTCTCTAACTTTATTTTTTTTCAGAAGTGGAATTATCATTTAGTTTTAGGTTTGTATGGGTTTTTTTCCTCAAAAGAAATATGGAAGGACTCTTTTTTTTTTTTTTTTGCATGTTTGGAGAGGAACAACATTTTTCTAATTATTAAGTCAATCCTAAGTGTGGGTATTTACTGGCATTCATATTGGCCAAATATTTTCATTCTGTTTAATACTATCTGTCTATCTGACTAATTATCCATCTATTATAAATGTTTAACTTCTGTCTGTCTGTCTGTCTGTCCGTCTGTCTGTCTATCTCATTATCTATCTATCTAGCTGGCTAGGTAGATAGCTATGTATCTCACAAATGGACAGCCTCTTTCTTTCTTTCTTCTTTCTTTCTTTCATCATCATCTAGCTAGCTATCATCTATATATCTACCACAAGGACAGCCACATTCTATCTGTCTGTCTGTCTGTCTGTCTGTCTGTCTGTCTGTCTGTCTCTATCTATCTATCTATCTATCTATCTATCTATCTATCTATCTATCTATCGGGAGACAAACTCTGCAGTGAACAGGAGATCAAATAGATTCTTTACCAATGTAGCCAACAACTTTGTCATCCAAAAGGTGGAGGAGGGAACTAGACGTAAAGCTATACTGGACTTAATTCTAACTAATAGAGAAGAAGTGATAGAGGGAGTTGAAGTTGCCAGAACCTTGGGCGAAAGTGACCATGTCATACTGGAATTTAATATAACGCAAACACTAGCAACACAAAACAATCCAACCAGTGTCTTGAACTTCAAAAGAGCTGGAAAGATCCCATGGATGAAAATCCTAAAGGGAAAAACAATCCAAGAAGCATGAGAAATTCTGAAAAATGCAATCATAAAAGCCCAGACCAGCACAATACCACTGAGAAAGAAAAACAAGAAATTCAAGAAGAAACCAGCATGGCTGCAAAAAGATCTCTCTGGCAAACTGAAAGACAAAAAGGACAAATATAAAAAATGGAAAGAGGGGCATATAACTAAGGCCGATTATCAGCAGACAGCCAGAACATGCAAAGATGAAGTCAGGAAAGCAAAGGCTCAGAACAAACAAAGACTTGCAACAGAAATCACGGATAATAAAAAAAAGTTACTTCCAACATATTAACAACAAGAAAAAAGTCAAGGAAACTGTAGGTCCACTCGAGAGAGGATGGCAAGGAAGTAACAGGCAACAGGGAGAAAACAGAACTGCTTAACTCATACTTTGCATCAGTCTTCAAACAAAAAGAAACTATAGCCCAACATACCAAAAAAAAGCACTGCAAAAGACATACTAGAAACAAAAATTAAAATAAGGGAGAAAATCGTAAGAGAATACCTATCCAACCTTGACGAATATAAATCACCGTGGCCTGATAGATTACATCCCAGAGTTCTGAAGGAGCTAGCAGATGTTATCTCAGAACCATTGCACCACATCTTTCAAAAATCCTGGAGCACCGGGGAAGTACTTCAGAACTGGAAAAGGGCTGATGTGGTTCCTATCTTCAAGAAAGGAAATAAAACGGACCCAGGAAACTACAGACCAATCAGTTTAACATCAATACCTAGGAAGATCCTAGAAAAGATAATCAAAAAGCAGATCTACGAACAACTAGAAGCGAACAAAGTTATAGCCAATAGCCAGCATAGGTTTGTTAAAAATAGATCATACCAAACCAATCTTATTTCATTCTTCAACAAAGTGACTAAACTAATGGACCAGTGAAATACTGTGGATGTAGTATACTTAGACTTCAGTAAGGCATTTGATAAAGTAGACAACATCCCCACCAGATGGATCTGTAGCTGGCTGACAAACCATACTCAATGAGTAGTCCTCAATGGCACTACATCTACATGGAGAGAAGTAAGCAGTGGGTTACCAAAAGGTTCCGTCTTAGGCCCAGTATTCTTCAATATCTTCATCAATGACTTAGATGAGGGCATTGAAGGGGAACTCATCAAATTTGCAGGAGTAGTGGACACCCCAGAAGACAAACTCAGGATCCAAAAAGATCTTGACAAACTTGAACAATGGACCCTATCCAACAAAATGAATTTTAATGTGGAGAAAAGCAAAGTCTTACTTTTAGGCAGGAAAAATCAAAGGTACAAGTACAGATTGGATGAGACCTGGCTTAAAAATAGTAACTGTGAGAGGGTCCTTGGAGTCCTAGTGGACAATCCCTCAATCATGAGCCAGCAGTGTGTAGCAGCAGCCAAAAAAGCTAATACAATCCTGGATTGTATAAAGAGAGGCATAGAATCAAGATCACACAAAGTATTAGTACTGCTTTATAAAACCCTAATAAGACCACACCTGGAATACTGCAACCAATTTTGGTTACCATACTACAAAAAAGATGTTGAGACCTTGGAGAGAATTCAGAGAAGAGCAACTAAAATGATCATTGGCCTGGAGACTAAAAGTTATGAAGAACGGCTGCAGGACTTGGGTTTGGCTAGTCTAAAGAAAAGAAGAAATATGAGAGACATGATAGCAGTTTTCCAGTATTTGAGGGGCTGCCACAAAGAAGAGGGGGTCACGTTATTCACCAAAGCACCAGAGGGCAGAACAAGAAACAATGGTTGGAAACTGATCAAGCAACCTGGATTTAAGGAGAAACTTCCTGACAGTGAGGACAATTAACCAGTGGAATAGCTTGTCCCCAGAAACCGTGGGCGCTCCATCACTGCAGATTTTAAAAAAGAGGCTAGACAGTCCTTTGTCTGAGATGGTATAGGTTCTCCTGCTTGAGCAAGGGGCTGGACTAGAAGGCCTCGAAGTTCCCTTCCATATTCTATTCTATCATCTCCCCTCCCTCTGTTTCTTCCTTTTGTGAATTTGAGACAATCAATTTAGAAATATTCTCAAAGTATATTTAAAATATTTCAATTCATTTTAATTTAGGATTTTTTTAAAAGAAAAGAACTTTATCAGATGAATGCAGAAATGGACCCAACATGGCAGATCAGCTTTTGCTCCAAATGATGAAAGTGTTGTGCAGTTGCATGGTACCATGGCAACACTGGTGTTCAAGGCAACAATGATGATTGCAAAGGGACTTATTTATTTATTGCCACTGTGCTGTGTAAGCAGAAGCTACACTATCTGGAAAAAAATGGGACTCCTGGATATTTAAGGGGCAATTCAAGTGCAACACTGGGGAGAGGCAGTGTGGGAGGAAAAAAATCAAATTATCCCATAACTTTTCAGCATGAGGCCAAGGAAAAGAAGCACTTCAATTTGTTTTATGCATAGAGTGTTGTCCTTTCTGTGATACTAGAAAGGACAACATCATTTGAGATTACATAAGATATTATAGAACTAAACAAAAAAAAATTCCTGGGAATTTCTGGGAGTTGGAACCCACATATCTTAAAATTGCTGAGGTTAAAAAAAACACTCCTCTATACTAAGATAATAGATCAGTGAGAGAATTGTGTGAACTGGCAATACTTGATGTGAAGAGAAAAGAAATCAACTTCAATACTTTGCTATTGAAGTTGCTATTAACCTAACAGTTATGGATATGTAATGGATCATTTTGCTGTTTGGTAGAAAAATGAGTTGTAATATAGATTCTACCTTTGGATTTTACAGAAGCTGTAGTTTTTGAAAATAGCAATAATGCTGTTTTTTTTTTCTTCCTTCTTTGTTCTTTTCCTCTGATTTCTTTCTCTTTTGTTCTTTTTTCTCCCTTTTTTCCTTCTCTCAGATTGACTAGTCCTTTCCCACCAACATAATCTTCCTTCTTCTATTGTCTGGCATATTCAGAGTTCTTTTGTCTACTTTAAATTTATGCCTGTTTCCACTCAATTGGCTTAGCCATTTGGGCATCCCTGTGAACTGCTGTTTAGCTATTCTGTCTCAAACACCAGAAACACCTTTGTCTATTTCTGCCTTAGTCAAAGAGAATGTTATTTTTCTCTTTTGTCTGAGAGGCTGCTCCTGTGCTTTTAATAATAGCTTAAAGCATCCAGATTCTGTAAGTGCAGCTGCTGTTAGGCAATGACTCCTGTCAGAGGAACAAAGATGACAAATATAGACTTTCCTATTTTGGTGCAATACTCTAAGCCAAGCCACATAATTTTCTACTCAAAATTAGCCTTTTTAAAGAGCTACTTGTATTTATGCACTTTTTTTGGTATAAATATGAGGTATGTTGTTTAGGTTTGCCTTACTAGAAGACAAAATGCCTGAATTTATTCCTAACACAAACTAAGAGTGATGATCAATAAGGGTATATGAAGGGTGGATCAGCTGTGTAATTGATGCTTTCAGAAAAGAAAAAAAGAATACCTACATGACATTATTTTTTGTGTGTTTGTGTATGTGTGTTTCTCTTTGGCCTTCAGGATGATCTTCAGCCTGTTGCATCTGAAACCAACTGGGAATCAGTCACAAGCCCGGTGTTGGTAAATAATGTGTTAATTTTTATTTTTATTTTTGGGAAAGAGGAAGAAGTAACTGGAACTCAGTTGAGAACCACAGCAAGGAGATAAATTGGATTTAAACATTCCGCTAAGCTATTATACAATTTGTTTTATTTTGGCTTAGTGCATTATGAGAATTGAAATGATTACAGCTTGTTCAGCAAACCAGTGTTAAGCACTTAATGTGATGTATCAAACAGATCGCTATAATGCTGGCAGTGTTACTAGTAATACTGCTTTGGGGTTTGTTGATAGTAATAAAATCTAGCTTACATTTTTCAATGAATCAGTCAATCATCAGTTTCTCCACCATTTCAGTCAAAAGTTTTTTCTGGCAGTATCCTGACTATTCAGAATAGATACTAGTTATTTGATTTGGCTCCCTTGGAAACATAGCATTACAGAGCATGCTATGACAAGAATGAGATTATGTAGTCAGCTTTGCATGAAGAAAGTCCCAAATGCCATCGTTAGTGTTCCCAATTTAAACAGGTAAATAAAAGGTATTGGTCAGATGTAGGGAACCAGTGCTATTCAAAATAAATCAGGCTTCTTCAAACTTGGCACCCATCAAGTATCTTAAGAACTGTAGTTCTCAAAATTCTTACACATCATGGAGACCATTTAGAGACTAGGGAAAGCCACAAAAATTTAAGTGTGTGTAGATGGATAAATAGGCTAATCTGGATAAACTCCTGTGTATTTGCTGCAGGTCTCAAATGAACCTCACACTTCTTACTTGCCTCTAAGACACAAGGAAAAGATGAGTTTCATGTCCAAATTTTCATTATTAATGATGCTCAGGAAATCATTTGTTACTGGCTTGGATGTTATTACAGAACAATAGAGGGCATCAATAATTTGTGTAAGAATTAAAGCTTGTCATGATTCAAAAATGATTCAGAAGAACATAGAAGCCTGCAATGCAGCAAGGTAGAAGTACCATTCTTCAGAGTTCAGCCTGAAAACAGACATCGTTGATTTAAGGCATGGGTCTTCAAACATGGCCCTTTTATGACTTGTGGACTTCAACTCCCAGAATTCCTCAGCCAGCTGAGGAATTCTGGGAGTTGAAGTCCACAAGTCATAAAAGGGCCAAGTTTGAAGACCCCTGATTTAAGAACTGTTTAAATCAACCATATTGGAAAAGACTGGAAAAAGATACTGCAAGTTTAAAGAGATACTGCAATTTGTTCTCCTCTGCAGTTTGAAACACTCCTTCTGAATCACTTCCAAAGCATGAATATCCCTGCAAGCTATCTTCAGGAATGTACACTTAATCTGTTCATTTATTGAACAAACTGCAATGGTTTTTTTAAAAAAATTACTTTCTAATTCCAGAATTAGAGTTCATTTATACACTGGGTAACTACGAAACATTATTTTTGTTTGACATTTGTTTAAAATGAGCCACTAGTATTTCTTCCCAAGTAACAATCAATTGTTGAATGGAAAGAATGAGATTTGTAATCCAACAAGTCTTACTTTTGGTCTGTTAAATAATTTTCCTTTGGCTTATCCTTGAGATACAGTGCTTAGGCCATAGGGCACATGTAAATATTTTTTAAATTTTTCATACTGTCAGCAAAAAAAAAAGTCAACCTTGTTATTTTATCCTTAGCCACTAGTTTTTCATAGAATCTGCTATTTAGTTGTTTTAGAGCATGAGATTGTTCTCCTGACTTGTCCCCACCTTACCTCTGTATCAAGAAAATAAAGCTTCCTTTTTCTATATGGACATTGTGTTTTGAAAAATCTATTTTTACAAATGCCAGGATTTTGTACAAAAGGAATGTAATACTGTTCTTTGCTCACTTTGATGTCTTCAAATTTCTCTCTGGTCCATTATCTCAACTCATCTCACCTCTATCTCGACTGCAGCAAAAAAAATCAGGCACATTGCACTTCATGACCATAAAACTTGTCTCCTTACAATTCCTGTTCCAACAGTCTTTTTCACATCTAGCATAACTTTTTCTTAAAATACCTCTTAACTTCTCTTTATTTTTTTAAAACCCTTGCAAAATATGTGTCTTGGACATTCACTCCATTTGATCCATCTATGTTAGAGTCTTCTTTACCCTCTGACAATCATATCTTTTTTTCCTTTCTGATCCTTATGCTTGGAATTATTCTTGAGAATGATTCCAGAAGACCATTTCTTCTATACATTCTTCTTCAAAGCCCACTTTTTGGTAAAGGTTGAGTGATCTCCCATTTCCTACCTGTCACTGTAATTAAATACTAGAGTTGAAAAGCTCCACAGCATGTCTTTTTTTCTTTCCTTCCATTCCTCCCCTTCTTCATTATTTTCTTTTTTATATATACAGGTGCTATTCTGATTATATACTCTTTATTACTAAGATCTAAACAAAACCCAGTAAATAAAACCAGTTACAGTAGCTATGAAAAGGGTATTTAGAAATCAGGACCAGTTATTGTTTCAGTGATGGACAATGTTTGGGATCTGCAGCTTAGCCTCCCAACCTTCTCATGAGTCACAGGAAGCTATTGGTAACATGCTGTCACAACAAAGGGTGGAACTGAACATTTTAAACTTCTTTTAGGGGCTGGGAGTGTGAAGAATAGCAGGAGACTGCTGGGAGGCAAATTGCTCAAACATGACAAACTCTAAAATTGTTTTGTGGTCAAAATCAGGCCCTTTGGGAGATAAGCATGTGGGGAGTAGCAGTTGCCTCTAAGAGGTTTCATGCTTCCCAGTCACTTAACTTTTCAATAAAAAACAAACAAAGTCATGGCTAAGTTGAGTCCCTTTTATCACAAGATTCTATGAACATAATCTTGGGATGCTGGGGCTTTTAAGCAGATCACAAGTTGGTCATCCTTATTGTCTGCCTTTATGAACTACTGTCCTGTCCCTGGATCTTCCCAGCCTCTATGCATTCAGCTGGGTGATTTATACTTGTTCTGTATAGCCAGAGGAGAAGCTGTACTGGCATTTGTTGTATTTCAAGCAAAGTATGTATCTTAGCAAGAACCTGATTTATTTGAGAGCTGTGATTTGCATCAAGCAAATGTAAGTCAAATTTCATCTCAGAACTTCTCACTAAGATTGAGAAGAACAAGCACCATTTGTTGTATACTTTAAAAGGTAAATGTTTCCCCTTTCTAGTCGAGTCCAACTTTAGGGAGCAATGTTCATCTCCGTTTCTTAGCTGAGGGAGTCAGTGTTGCCCAAAGACCCTTTCTGTGGTCATGTGGCCAGCCTGACTATACACCAAAGACACACAGAATGTTGTTACCTTCCCACCGATATGGTACCTGTTTATCTACTCGCATTTTCATGCTTTCAAACTGCTAGGTGGGCACTAGCTGAGGCAAGTAATGGAAGCTCACCCCTCACCCGGGCTGTCAGCTTTCCAGCTGACAAGTTCAATGTCTTTAGCCACTGAGCCACCACACCCCCTTTGAACACTTTAGCCCGACACAATGGTGGGTGTATTATTATGTATAAATGTTTTTTTTATAAAGACATAAACCTAGGGAACACAAGGGTTGTTTTCAGTAATGTTTAGTTCCACTCATGTGATAATTCATTGTTACTGTTAAATCTGGAAAGGGTAGTTTTGATTTCTTTGTTCTTTTCTACATGATGTTCAAAGTACACTGCTCTGTTTGTCATTCTCAGGGCATTTCCTATCGCTCTCCATCAGTGACTGACCCCACTCTTACTGTGGAAGCCTTAGATCAAACCATTGCTGGGTTTGATACTGTGGAGGAATTGCTCAAGCACTTTAATCCAGATACGTGGCAAGAAGATCTTGATCACCTGTACACAGAGAGCGCTCCACCTCGAGGCAGAAGTTTCTATGAGAGGAAGTCGAAAGGTAAGAAGCAAAAATGGTTGGATGGATGCACAGCAGAATAAGACGTTCACTACGATATTAGTTTTGTGGCCGACATGGTTAAACTCCTCAGAGGGATGTTGTATAATTTTAGCAACTCTGCATAAGTCCATACTTTGTTCAGTGAAAATTAAAATTCTTAACAACCAGTCTACATAATGAACATTGGAGAGATATTTGTATCCTATAAAAGCCACCTGCTCTTACAGGTGCTGGTGCCAGATGTTCTTCTAAGTGTGGTGTGATTTTTTATTTTTTAAAAAGTGATTATCTCCCTCTTATACTGCAGCAAGATAATTAAGATGGTTGCAGAGGACAAGAGTAGGTAGATATACTACTGGTAATTAGGACATCCATGTCTTATATGCAGCAACTGGCTTTAACATAAAGCCCTAAAGCATTTGTTCACAAAAAAAGGGTTAGCGATGTCCAGATTTTATTAGATGAGCCCAAGGCAGCTGGATACCTCAGAGGACACTTTAGTTGGTTGAACAAACTAAAAAAAATTATTCTGCCTGGAGCAAATACTTATTCTTTATTACAGTACTACATTGGTTTGAGAAATTCAACATCCAATGTAATATATGCATTATTGTTCAGAGTGGTAACTTCTATGATTCTTGATGCGCTGCGAGTTGTCTTTTCACCATTTTGATTGAGAGTGCATGCATGTGCACACTAATAATAATAATAATAATAATAATAATAATAATAATAATAATAATAATAATAATAAAGTTGGAAGGGACCTTGGAGGTCATCAAGTCCAACCCCCTGCTCAGGCAGGAACTCTACACCATTTCGGACAAATGGCTGTCCAGACTCTTCTTAAAAACTTCCAGTGTTGGTGCATTCACCGCTTCTGGAGGAAGGTTGTTCCACTGGCTAATTGTTGTAACTGTTAGGAAGTTTCTCCTTAGTTCTAGGTTGCTTCTCTCCTTGATCAGTTTCCATCCGTTGCTTCTTGTCCTCCCTTCAGGCGCCTTGGAGAATAGCTTGACTCCCTCTTCTTTATGGCAGCCCCTGAGATATTGGAATACTGCTATTATGTCCCCCCTCGTCCTTCTCTTCGTTAAACTAGACATACCCAATTCCAGCAACCGTTCCTTATATGTTTTAGCATGCATGTCTACATACATATATGTGTGTTTATATGTAAGTATAAAAGTCACAATACACAACTCTATTTTCTGGAGGGCATGTGTGTCTGTTTGTTAATAGCAAACTCATTTTCCAAATGCCTATGTGGCCAAAAACCTGCTACCTATGCCAAAAAAAAAAAAAAGGGAATGCCAGAAAACTTTGGAGGACTTAAGATTTGAAAAAAGAATGTAAAGAGGTCTGAACATACTGTATATGTTCATCATATGTGATATATATGTTTGGTTGATTTTACCTGCAATTTCTATATATCTTTGAACACTATCCAATCATATGGAAAACTTGAAAATTCACAAAGTTATAAAGTTGATATTATTATATTCATTACATTATATTACATTACACTATGTTACGTTACATTACGTTATGTTATGTTACAAGTCTATGGAGATTCTCAGTCATCCAGTTTATGGTTGTCCCAAAGGTGCTTTTTTGAAAGGCAACTGGACTTTGTTTTTCCTTGAATACATTTCACTTCTCATCAGTTTCTTCAGTGGTGACTGAATGGTGGAGGATGGAAGGATTTATATCCCTTGCAGTCATCTGGTCATTAGCACTCTTTCTGAGACTGTTGAGGCCACTTGGAGGTTTATCTGTGCCCTCATGGTCACCTGAATAGTGCAAATGGGTGTGGAATCTTCTTGAAAAGCTTGATACATTACATTATATTACATTTAAGAGTTTCCTGAATGTCATTAGAGTGAGAATCATACAGATCTCTGGAGGGATGTCATTCCAAAAGACAGATATTGTGACAGACAAGGCTTTCTTCCTTAATCCCACAAGATGACATTGTGTCAGTGTTGTTGATATTCACATTGCACTTGTGTTGGAAACACCGAGGGGCTTCCAGGTTGAAAGCATTAGCCAGTGATGTCACCATTGCCCAAAGGACATCCAGTTGGGGATTCCTTTCACGTCCCCCCCCCAGCAGAAGCTGGAGCAAAGATGATACTGCCTCCACTCTGTCTGACCACACTGCATGTATTATGCATAGGCATTAACAATTGGATACAGGTAGTTTCTCAAATAACATGCCATATGCCATGAAAGGCTTTATAGATGATGAACAGTTTGGGTAGTATATGGGTAACCTCCACCTTGAATTACATCTGGAAAGCGACTGGAAGCTAGTACTGCCTCCATAGCAATGGTGTTACTTGGATGAAACATGGGTATCAAAACTGCATGCCACTGCATACTGAACTCGTTGCAGCTTTTGGAAGGTCTTCAAGGGTGGCCCCATGTAGAGCATATTGCAGAAATAGAAATGAGATGACAAAGATATGTGTGACTGCGAGCAAGGCCTCCCAATCTTTTCATCTAAGTCATTAATAAAAATGTGTAAAAATACAGGGCCAAAATCTAAAACCACTCAGCATCTAACTCAAATTTGATGAGGATAACTGATGAACATGCCAAATATTATTTTTATTTCAGATAACTATCCATTTAATTGTTGTGCCACTCAGCATCTAACTCAAATTTGATGATTATTTTTTATTTCAGCCAACTATCCATTTAATTGTTGTGTCATTGAACCGGTACTTCACTAACCTGCTAATCAGAATATCATGATGTATTTGGCTTGGTTGAAATCAGAGTACATTATGTCTGTAACATTTCCACACTCTACTAATTGTGATTGTCATTAAAATCCAATCATGAAAATGAGGTAATCTTAGTGTGGCAAGATTCATTTTTCACAAATCTATCCTGAATTCTGTTAATTACCATCTTACTTTTAAAATGATTTACAGCATAATAGAGTTGGAAGGAACCTTGGAGGTCTCCTAGTCCAACCCCCCCTCCCCCCCAGGCAGAAGACTGAGCATACCATTTCAGACAAATGGCTATCCAGTCTCTTCTTAAAAGCTTCCAGTGATAAAGCACCCACAACTTTTGAAGGCACGCCATTCCACTGATTAATTGTTCTCACTATTAGGAAATTTCTCCTTAACTCTAGGTTGGTTCTCTCCTTGATTAATTTCCATTCATTGTTTCTTGTCTTGCCTTCTGGTGCTTTGGAAAATAAGCTGACCCTCTCTTCTTAGAGAACAAATAATAAGAAGATTATTTTTATTTAATAAGACGTGGTGGCACAGAGGTTAGAATGCAGTACTTCTGCTGACTGCAATTTGGCAGTTCGATTCTCACTGGCTTAAGGTTGACTCAGCTTTCCATCCTTCTGAGGTCAGTAAAAATGAGGACCCAGATTGTTGGGGGCAATATGCTGACTCTGTATACCACTTAGAGAGGGCTGTAAAGCACTGTGAAGCAGTATATAAGTCTAAGTGCTATTGATATTGCTAATAATAATGAATATATAAGTACAAATGTAAGAACAAATGCTTACAGGTCTGTCTCTTTATATACTGGTTGAAAATTTTCAGACCAACCTGGTCTGCAGTTCCCTTAGACACTCATTTTCTCATTTTTTAAAAAAAAGATTGCAACAATATTAGCTCTCCTTCAGTCATCTGGCACTTTCTCAGTTCTCTCAGATTTCCCCAAAGATAATATATAAGGGTTTAACATGACCATCAACTAGTTCCTTTCCTACCTTACAGTAGGCCCTGGAGATTTAAGGTCATTCCGAGTAAATAGGTCTTTCCTCGTGTTTCTATCAAAGTGAAGCTTATTCATGCATTCAGTATGATAAGTAGTTGCCTCTGAGGGATTTTTAGACATATGTAAGTCACACAGTGTGGCAGTCTGACTTTTCAAGGCTAGAAAAATATCCCCAGCTATACAACATGTTCTTGAATTGAGAAAGGGGAAGAACAATGTTGACATAGTAGTCAAAACAAATCTGTTGTATTCATTGTTTTTTATATATCCTCAAAGAACCAACAGGAAGACATAAGCAAAGAAAAATAGGGATGGGGAATCTTTTGTGGGTTGATGAGATTTTTTTAAAAAAATCAAGATGTAGGAAGGGTTCAGATGAAAGCATCAGAAAAAACTACGATCATATAACACATGTATGAAAATGAATCATTATAGGTCAAACATCAGAAACAGAATATTCAGATTATCTTAAGTGAAGTACTATCAACAGAATCAGTTCATCCTTTTAGATGCCAATTAGGATGCATTGGAGAACTGAGAAGAAAGAAAAACATTCACATGATTGTACCATTGTACACCTGACAATGAGAACAATTAACCAGTGGAACGTCTTGTCTTCAGAAATTGTGGGTGCTCCATCACTGGAGATTTTTAAGAAGAGACTGGACAGCCACTTGTCTGGAATGGTATAGGATTTCCTGCTTATGCAGGGGGTTGGACTAGAAGACCTCCAAGGTCCTTTCCAACTCTGCTATTCTGTTATTCTGATTGTAAGAACAAGCCTACTGTATTTAGAAGGAAAAGATGCTTTCAGAAAGGAGAAGTGTACATGTGATTAAATGTACACTCAAACCAGTAGGATTTGAATGCATCGACTTTTAGACTTCACTCCTAAAGATTCATTCGTCCTTAGAGAAACATACTTTTCATTCTGTAGATTATATTATGCCGCAGCACGCAAAATTTAACAAAATGCTATTGAAGGAATAATTGAGTCAGTTGGGGCACTGTTGATGTAAGATTAGCACACTATGAAAGATTTACAGGTTAAACAAATTTGCTGCTGCCACTGGGTTATGCTTTTTAAAACAAGGGTTAGAAAAATAAAGGAATATCACACTGTAGTGTTTTTCCAACACACACTGTGACAATGGAACAAGTTACACGCTGAACATTAAGCCTTCCTGTGAATCCCCGGTGTTCTGAACCATCTCATCTATTTGTCATTAATATTTTTCCCCAGTCTAAAC